AACGTTACAGAAACTCCAGACTGCGTGACGTTTTATTCTTAGCCCAGATTCAGATAAACAAAAAATAACTCATGTACATAAATTTGACTGAATCTAACCAAAGCCATCTTGGATACAACACAACCAATTTGCCCGGTATTGTAAAGGATCAGTGTGTATCCCGTAGCTAAGTTGCGTGGGTTACAGATGAATGATTGTGTCCAATATCAGCACTGAACTTCCACTGTCGTCTGCATGATATTCGTTACTTCTTTTATGACCCCTTTTATTGAATACATTAGAAAGCGACCCATCAAATGTCTGCCCCGGAGTTACAAAGGACTCATAACTTACGCGGCGATGAACTAGTGACCTAAACTACCTGGTCTTCACCACACCTTAATCAGTGAACAAGCTGGGGGTAACAACACATGTTTCACCTCCATTTGAGCATCAAACAAATTTCATGTCAGTAAAAGGAACCCCATGATGAGTACCAAGATTGTTATGAATGCGATCAATAAGCCTTGATTTCAGTTCGCACACCGTTGCACAATCACGTGACACAGATTCACACCGGATGGAGTCTACGCATTTGGCTAAGGTCGACGGCAACGGCGTTTGCGCAATAGTGCACGAGGAGCGGGGCGGGGGGTAACTGCAATCTCAGGCGATGTCTCCAAGTATGTTGCTTATGCTGCTCAAACACGAAGGTCCATAGAACAAACACCTACTTTACTTGGTTGGCTGTTTATACGTCACCCACTAGCCAGCCCATGGAGTAAACATTAAAAAGCATCCTGAATGAAGTTTGAAATTCACTGTGCAAATGACTGGCGCTCTTGCAGAGGTCTATTCCATAAATGTTATTTCAAGATTTGGTGGGGGTATTTACTCTCCAATGCATAACGTGAGTCTGTCGTGCAAAGAACAGAACAGTAAATTTACTGCTTGAAAAAGACTATACACCTATTTTACTGATGGCGTAATGCAGCCAGCAGTCAGTTTTGTATTTGTAGAATCCAGAATTCCAAGGATGATAATGCCAAAACCGCGGTTAATCTATTTGCGGTTATTTGACTAACGTTTTCATTGTCCGATTTTTGAAGTGTTCCCTTCTGATATCAACTTTTACTAATTATCTAATCAAGTAATCAGGCTTACAGTTGAGGCTCCGTTTCGTTGTGCTTATGGGATCCTAGTTTCCCCTTACATTGAGCTAATTTACGACTTGTGTTACGCTGTGCCTGTCTGAAGGTGCAACGATAAACTCGAGGGCATTGAACTTTGAAGTATACGGAGCAAGCAAACTGAACACTTCAAATCCTCTGATTAAATCAATTGTAATTTGCCTGAGCAGTGCACCAATTCATGAATGTGGCTCGTAGATTGCATCTGACACAATCTTATTTTAAACAAGGAGAAATTGAGAAAGCGAGATTGATGAAGACACCAAGTCCACCAGTCGGTCGTTGTGTAGTTCCGTATGCCGTCACAGACACTGGGTTGCGTGGATATCTGCTCTTTTGCAAATCTCACTTGTCAGGAGTCCGTTTTAGTTCCCACATTCATGACACGTCTTCTATATGTTAAAGTCGATGTGTGAAGATCTCAGACACTGGTGTCTGTGATTTCGCAAGCGGTTGAACTGAAAAAGACTCATTGGGTGTATAAAACCATGCACCCCGAATATTGACCATCACCAATATGGCGCGGTTTAAGAGTCTCAATCAGAAGGTTGACAGCTAGAGTTCCGGCTGCCTATGGGCGTCAAAATGTAAGATACTGCTTTTCAGGGCTCTTTGGTGACTTTGTGGGAAATTGTTTGAAAAAGAGAAACGCATTTCGAACTCATCCAAATAATTTTACAAATGATCTCACATGACCTCAAAATCTGCATATGCTTAATAATCATGGTGCTCATAGAATGCCCCATCTATCACATGATCTAAACAGTTTGACATCTATTAGTGAAATTATTTTAGAATAGTTAAACAATTAATCTTCATTGCCCCAATTTATTGTTGGAGGGAGAAGCAGGATCCTATATCAGGCTTTTTGCACTAACCTATCTAAGACTAAGCGAGTGCAGCTTCAACCGAATAAGCACCTCATTGGCTATTCATAATTGTTGAATCAGTCCACTTTGCTTTAGCAGAGCTCTACTCCAAAACAATCTGCCGAACTCGGGCATGGTTACGTAAGCGATTAAGGAAAATTCGCTTCTTTAAAACTGGTCTATGCTAAGCCTGTCTGTGGTGTACGTGCGGTTATGCAGTCGTGTCTAAATTGTGCTACGTAAGAATGAAAACGCTAACAAAAGGTACAGAGATTATTTTCCTTCCCTACTCTTAAATAGTTTTGACTCTCAAGTTAAGAGACTGTTGCTTCAACCACGGTCGGGTTTGATTATCCGCTTGTCTAATGCGAATATTCATTCTTTGTCTTGGGTGTCACGAAGTAGAACAATTTTCCGTGGAAAACAGGCACCCGTGTAACCAGACCACCATGACAGTACAAATCGCATAACCCAGACCCGTATTACCGTTTTTATTTGATTGATCATATTCGATGGCGGTAAAAAACAATCCGCTTCTTTGTAACACAACAACAACACAACAATTGCGTGTCGCGATAGTAATTCTCCCACCGCTTTGTGTGTGCGAGAGAGAAAGAGACAGACCCTTGGCATCTGAGATATGTGCGGTTTGCACACGCTTGATTAGCATACATTCTTCCGTGCTCGTTATGCCCCCCGCCCTAGTTTGAGTTTATCATTCGGAGATGAAGAAAAGGTAAATTTAGATTTTTTGTTTGGAAGAGAGAGTTTTTGCGGCATTTGGTTGGTGATCATATCCATCACCTCGGCCATGTATGCAAACCTTGCATAGATTTACAACTACCTATAAGCACATCCATCGATAGTCTTTCCAAATGAGGACATTCCAATTCACCCTACCAATGGATGAAGTTGTGTAATGGTTGGCTCCTGAGAATAACCCCCTGTCCATCCAGGTTAGAATATCGACAAATGTGGCACGGTGTGAAAGCTCACTGTTTTCCGGAAGAATCGGTATGTAGAGATACTAACCGATACCTACTTTAGGAATACCAAATAGTTGATTAAAAATCTTTTTCCCGAAATTGTCCACAAACTGAATACTTATTTCTGAGCCCTGGAACGCGTATTGCTATCCTCCGTAGGCAAGAATTTGTGTTGTTGCTTTCTTTTTCATTGGTTCCTTGCATATACTGACGTTTTCACCTATCTGTTCTGAAAAAAATAAAACGGATTTTGTTACACCAGCGAGAAATGTGTTTTTAACGACAAAGAAACTTTCCATTCAGAAAAGGGGCGATATGGTACAATGATCAAAATAGCCTTGAAAATAACTACGAGTGAATAGTTCTGCTCGTTACGACCCCGTTCTAAATTTGTGCTTAAGCAGTTTGTCCGCGTGAGATCGTATCATTGTTGCTAAGTCGGAAGACTGTACTCAGGATATAACACATTTCGAACAATGCTTGTTGTAATCTCCAAGTTTTACCTGAACGAAAAATGATAAAAAGGCGGTGGTGATGGTCTCTTGATGAAGTCAACAAATTATCGCTCTGGGAGACGTGTGTTGGAATCCCACCATCACCGCCTAACTTCCCCACAACTGGTTATATGGCATCCCTTTGATTGGTCATTTCCCCCTTCCTGAAAATTGTATCCTTTTATACTCGATAGAAGAAATGAAAATTGAAAAAGGAAATGTTTTGTAGATTAATGGTCGGATTCGTGAGTCTGTGACATGGTTAATCTCAATGTTTTGAATTTGATCGTATACTGGATCAAAAAAGAGTGAACTGAAAAGCTTGAAATCACCGCACGACTCTTCCGACCTTGTTGGTTCTCATCAGTAGTGCAATTGCATTTAACCAACCTGGAATGCATTCAATCAATCAATTATTATGGACCTGGTGGAAACGTATTTCTGTGTGTGTTATTTCTTCTTCCATTAGGTTCGAGCATAGTTTCAGCATTGCATTTATGCAGTATCCCAGTAAACTTGACAGATCCCACTATAAATACAAAATGTACTTTTTCCCTCGAAAAGTCAATAAACGTGAGCTAAGTGAATAGTGGTGAACCATGTTCGATAGCATGATGACATACATCCTGTGTATAGAAAATGCACCATAAACAGTAAACTGAGGAGGTCAGTGCTAATTTCGGCTTTGTTGGATGTGCACAAACAGCTTACAAAGATGATTTGTTTCATTCAGATCGTTTATAGACAAGGTGAATCAGTTTGAGCAGACAGTGGCCCCATGGTCACGTGAATAGCAAGTATCTCTCCATTCTACTTATGAGGTTCCAGACTCGATCATCAGATAGGTCTATGAAATTGTGCTACTGATGAGATCCAACCTAATCCAAACAGACGTACAATGCTTTCAGTTCATGTTTTCGTTACTCTGTTTTTGGTGAATCGTTTTCAATCCTCTATGATGAAATGAAGTTGTATCAGAACCTTGTGGATTGATGCTGCGAGTGGAGGCGTGGATTACGGCAGCAACGAGTGACACCAGTTCTGCGTTTTAATGTAAAACGAGGACTACGCATAACACATGGATCGTTCTCATTATTGACTCGTGTTTGACCCTAATTAGTGAGGGAGCAGAAACAAACATCTGTACTTTATACCACATGTGATTAAGAGCGGTTGATCCCAAGCTAAAACCGTACCTTATTTGCAACGCCATTATCTCCCACCCACATCAATTCTCACTCTGATAGTGACTAAACTTGATTTAAATACAGAGCTCTGACATGAGGAAAATGTTATCTTTGATAGGATCGATAGCCGTATTGGATAAACAGTTGTCTTCACGGAATCACCTTCCGTTATCCACCAGAAGCGGCAGTAATAGCAATTTTCTTTGTGTGTAACGTAAAACTGATCTCTTTTTCAGGAAATAAACACTGATTTGTATAAATTACTCCATCCCTTCATCCTACTTCGCAGTCTCTAATGAAAGATCGATGGGTAAACATTGGCTACGAGGACAATCCCCTGCGTCCGTACGTCGAGCCAAAGCCTGATGTCACCGATCCCTCACGAATCTCCGCGATGATGAACATGGGTTATCATTTGGATGCGATTCTCAATTCTCTGAAAAGCGGCAACTGTGATGAAATCACTGCAACTTATTATCTACTGGAAAAAAAAGATGACAAAATACGCGACCGAGAAAACGAGGCATCACAGTGAGTTCTAGTGTGATTCTGATTCACGATAGTCTAAGAGAGAAAGTTAAAGCACCCAAGATACGCACCCGAGCAAAGATTGGACAAAATCTAAGTGATAATTCAAAAAACAAAAACTCCTCACTATGGACCTTTTATTTCGAAGACAAAACCCGTCATACATTTCTAAGAATAATATATTATGAGATACATCAGTAGTATTAGTAATTTGCCATTATTTGCTGCATTATTATAGTATCATTCCGTAAAATATCTGGGAATGTAATCGCCCCATAGAATTCCTCACTCCAAGCCTGTTGAAAACCCTTCCATTATGGAGGATTCCTTCTGAGGTAACAAATACTCATTCAATTTACACGATTTGACGCTGTGTTTCATCGAAAACGCTTATAAGTTATGTGCGTGAATCCCATTTTACAGTGCGATTACTGCATCATGTACCAACGTCTCGTTCCTCTCACCCGTAACCTTAAACAAGTAAATTCTCTCTGACCCTTTCTGTGATCTGATTGGATCATATTCCGCGATCTGCGGCGCTTAAATCCCCTCACCTCAATATGAGACTGTCTGATTACCGGCTTGTACGTTTTCTAATGCTATTGTTGTTACGTCTAGTCCATCCGTGTGCTGATGCCACTCATGCTGCACAGTCGAAGTTCACTCGGTCTACCTGAGACTTACGGCTGTAAACAAGGTGTGGTTTCCCGCTCGAGTTAGCTGGGCAAGCACTAAGTACCTTGAAGTGTATTGCTTGGGCCTAAATTTGAGGATATTGTTGTCCGTTATTTAGGCAAGTTCAAAGTTTTATTATGATTATCTATTTACCGAGCCCGCTTCGAAAAATAGTGCATTGGCCCAGTGCCATCATCGCTTGAGCATTTTCCTTTGCCGGCCCGAAAATCACACGACCGGGGTTCATCTACCGGTCGGTCGAATGGCTCAGTCGCAACAAGATACCTAGTGCTTGCCCAGCTAACTCGAGCGGGAAACCACACCTTGTTTACAGCCGTAAGTCTCAGGTAGACCGAGTGAACTTCGACTGTGCAGCATGAGTGGCATCAGCACACGGATGGACTAGACGTAACAACAATAGCATTAGAAAACGTACAAGCCGGTAATCAGACAGTCTCATATTGAGGTGAGGGGATTTAAGCGCCGCAGATCGCGGAATATGATCCAATCAGATCACAGAAAGGGTCAGAGAGAATTTACTTGTTTAAGGTTACGGGTGAGAGGAACGAGACGTTGGTACATGATGCAGTAATCGCACTGTAATTTTACTTGATTATAAATACCAAATGTAACTACTAATGAGTAGTCATAACAGTGCGCATAAAGCTCCATTTTCTACACATTTTCAGGTTACGGAAAGAATCTTGCGCAAGTTTAACATTTGATTTAGATAACCAGGATTCACGACGATGGTTTGGCAATACATGCTTGGTTAATTATTTCCAATATTGATTTTATTGATTTTATTCTAGACACCTTTTAACATGGAACACTCTTGTGTCTGCTCACTCTGTACGGATTAAAGTTAACGTCAACCCAATTTACTAATTTACATGCCAAGAACGGCGAAGTGATGTTTTTCCGTTCGTCTATTTGGAAATTTCTTTTAACATGAACTGCACGCTAATAAACGGCAGAGGAATTTGATTTGCTCGCAGTTTGTAGAGTCCCCATGAGTTTTCTTCTGCTTCCCTATGCGAGATTATCCAACATGGTGGAAAATAAAAATTTCACCATGAACACGGGGAAATTACAGTTAGTCAAACAGTAGAAAGAGGAGAAGCTCACTGCGTTGCATATAATGAAATGAAATGATTCCAAGCTCTGTGTTTTTTACGGAATTATTTAAGCGGATTTATTCTCACCTTGATGTGTGATATTTTTTTAATTCCGGTCAATTAGCCTTGAGTGCATCAATATCGGTATACAGTATCCGGTAGGGGTTTACTGCACTATGCCCAATCAGAATGAAGCTAGTGCTATGCATTCAAAGTTTTGTATTTGCAATTCGGAGAGCACGAGATTTGAGTTTTATCGATCCAAATCGGTCGTCTCCCGGCAAAACTTTGCTTCTCTGCATGGCAACTAAGAAGGGTAACAAAACAATGTAGAACCGATAAAGAGAGCAACATGTAATTCATTTTTGATGACTTATAAATTAACGAAATGAGTTACAGAAAAATGAATGGAGTGGAATATTAAAGGTCTATGCGTTTCACAAGAACATACTAAATATCAGACATGAAAGTCCGATTTCACATGATGTAGGCATTGTCTCTAGTTCAGTATGAAAATCGAAAACCACTTGTCTTTTTTTGGATATAACAAAATTTATTCTGTGCATAACCACTGTGACCTTACCCACCGGAGCTACTGTCTTCGGAATTTGTTTTCATTGAAATTTATTCACACTGATGAAATAATTTCTTTCCCATACAGATATAAATATATACATATATGTAAAATGTTCAGTATTCAACTAAATACGCGAGGCCTTTGAATTCGGCCGTTCCATTAGGCTGGAGAAACTAAATACTTTCTAAGGATTTATTCATCATTTATCCCATTTTGATCAATTTCAAGGACCCCAATGCTATCGTACATGAGCAAGTCTTTAGTCTTTATGTGCTATCGCGCAAAATGTACGCATTTTGAGAAATAAATCCAAGCGGATCATCAAAACACAAGGCGGCAGTCAAAAAAAAAAAAATTTAGCATATTGGCCAGTCCATTTTAGATGGGCTAGTATTAGGAAAACGCAAATTGCTCTCATTGCAACAAGCAATCAGCGTCCTCGGGTGAGAAAAGTCAACTAACTAGTAGAAATCACATGTAAAAAAGAGTACACGAATTATGGTTGCACAAAGAAATTCCCAGGGAAATGGTTCACCTGGATGGGTATCATTTATATCCAGTTGACCGTCCCACGAGTGTCCGTAAACGAGGCGGTGTTGTAAGTTTTGGTAACAACAACTGGAGTGAATGAACTGCCGTGATCCATGAATGCTCGAATGGATAAAATCGCTTGCCACGTCACTAAATGTAAGCCACAAAACTATTGGAAAAATTTGCCTGGCATCTAAAATATCAACATGGGACCTCATACGGTTTTCCGATATTTTTTCTACCTCCATCCGAGATTGATTAAGTGACTCTTTTTGTGCATATTTGTTGGTTTACTAGACATGACAATTTTCGTTACCATACTTAGTCTACAAAATTTGGTACATTTTCCTATCAGACTGGATGCACAACTATTGACTTTGTTTGTCCAAATAGAGCGCAATTCTTCGAGGTCCAGAAACGCGTCCCTCTGACTAGCTCTGATCACTATATCTGAAAATGTGTACTCGATTGCAAACAGCAAGACTCAGTAAACAAAGTCAAAGTTTTATTATGGGCATTACTTACAAACAGATGTTTTTCATGTCCCATAGGGTGTTTACATGAATTGAACTGCAACAATGATGAATAAAATTTCATATGCTATATTCGGTTGTGTTATGTGTGCTCATGGATGTTGGAATGTAATGTATGTTAATGATTCGTCAAGTTTTACCTTGAAAGGATCGATCGTCTTGGCACAAACAACATGAGATGCTGAGGAATTCCAGGCAGTGCACACTCTGATGGTAAAGGAATGACGTTGACAGTCCAGTCGAGACTTTTGGAGTAGTAACTTGAACGGATGTCCTCGTAGATGTACGTTTGATAACAAAGTCAAAAGTGGGCGACAAGGGTGGTTTGGGTTGTGTAATATTTGGCACAGTAAAACCATGTCTTCTCGAATCCGACGATACTGCTCAGAGTACTGACCCAATGACGACAGTCTCCCTATGTATCAATCATAATAGTATCCTTTGATCGTCTTGGTGGCGAGCCTTTGTGGACGCTCCAAAATCTTACGATCACGTTGCAACCATGGATTCCAGGTT